CAAAGCCCCAGTAGATAGTTGTATGTCATAGCTGCACATCCTTCTAGTTGCTGTATGTGGGACGTGGCCTCAGCATGGCTGGAGAAGCGGTGTGTCAGTGCGCGCCCGGGATCCGAACCCGGGCCTCCCGCAGCAGAGTGCGAGCACTCAACCGCTAAGCCACGGGGCTGGCCCAGTCAAGCATTTCTTAAGAGAGTAAGCACAATCCAAAAGATAAAGACTGAGACATACAAGCATTTAAAAATAAGCTGCTAAAACAAGTGACTCAATGAAAATTCAGAGTTGTTCTTTCAATATAACAAGAAAAAAAAAGTAGAGTAAATAAACTTCCCAAGAAATATGTTCAAATGTGACCTTGCTCACACCATCAATATCAGTGTGATTTATTAATCATTACAGACATAAACAACTATTAATATATTCTAGCACACTCAAAAATCAATCCTCTCCCGCTCCCCTGGTAACCACCATTCTACTTTGTGTCTTTATGAATTTACCTATTCTAGGGTATCTTACAACTGAAATCATACAATATGTGTCCTTTTTCAGCTTGTTTCACTAAGCATAATGTTTCCAAGGTTCATCCATGTGTCAGACTTTTATTCCTCCTTATGGCTGAAAAAATATATATATGCAATAATAATCAGGCTTCCTAACATCATTGATTACATAGATATGTCATTGGTTGTACCTAAAAAAATAATACTGGAATCCAATTAGAGAAGGGTAGTGGGTCCACATTTGCAAGGCCTATGAAAGACGTGAGCAGAAACAGGTGGAGAAGTGAAGGTGAAAACTTGGCCTCATAGCATCAGGGAATCAACCATCCTGAATTCCCCCATTCTATAGTTTTGGTCTTTAAGGATTTGCACAGCTCTGGGATCAGAATGACAATAGAATTGGCTAATGAGAAGCTTCGGATATTGACGCTCAAGGGATACAGAGACTTGAAAGAGCCTGTCTGTGACCACCTCATTCAATAGATTTTTCCCAGTAAAGAAACAGTACACCTGAGTCTCCTCCCAGAGATGATCCCTCTTGCCCAGGAGCCCGGTGCTTCATTCAGTCCCTCTCCTCCTCTTAAGGATACAGCTTCAGTCTCCATCATTCAATATACAGGAGAAATGTCCAGCATCATTCCACAGCGATGTCGTCCAGGTAACCTAATGTTCCTTAGTTAATGTTTGGGAATGAAGGCAGGTGTTTTACTACAAGTTCATCCAGGGGAAACTGTGAGGAGCATACATGCATCAGATGATGAGAACTAAGACATACATTTGCCTCCTGCCTGTCTTCCTTCTTCTTGACATGTTCCCTTGTATCTTTCCTCCGATTCTCAAACAACCCTCATTCTGCTAGTCTCATACTGTCTCTACCATGGCAAAGAACAATTTTCTCAGCAGGAATACCCTCATCTGCAAACATAGTGATTGTTATAAAATTGACTGGCATTTACTTAGTTCTTACAGTGGTCATAGAGACAAGGCTTGGTCAGTTTCACTGCATCTTCCAATTCTGGGGTTCTAACACACTTTTGTACTATCTCTGTTTCCAGGCTGTGAGGTCTCTGGGGAAGGAGGTGCAGATCCAGATATCGTCATCAGCCTGCCTCCCTGGACTACCTGTTTCTCCTCATAAAATTACAAAATATTGTAAACAATCAGAAAAGCACAGACAGTGTAATATTTAAAGTGATCATTCCTTAACCTCTTCTAGAATTAATAACTGTTGACACACTGCTTTATTAACTTGCGGTCTGTTTTCAAAATAACAAAATTATACGCATACAGAAGGCATCCCTCCATTTGACTCCTTCCGTTCCCAGATGGTGTTTGCCTCAGATGATACTCTTCCTGCTGGTCTAGGGACCACATCTTTCCCGTCAGATTCATCAACAACATGGGACCCAGAAATAAAACAGATGTTTCAGAATTTCTTCTCATGAGACTGACAGAGGATCCAGAACTGGAGACCATACTCTTCAGCCTGTTCCTGTCCATGTACCTGGTCACCGTTCTGGGAAACCTGCTCATTGTCCTGGCTGTCATCTCTGACTCCCACCTCCACACACCCATGTATTTCTTTCTCTCCAATCTTTCCTTTACTGACATCTGTTTAAGCACAACCACAATCCCAAAGATACTGGTAAACATCCAAACACAGAATCAGGGCATCACTTATGCAGGCTGCCTCAGCCAGATCTGCTTTGTCCTGACTTTTGTTTGTTGGGAAAATTTTCTCCTTGCAGTAATGGCCTATGACCGCTATGTGGCCATTTGCCATCCACTGAGGTACAGAGTTATCATGAACCCCCGACTCTGTGGACTGCTGAATCTACTCTCCTTGTTCATTAGTATTGTGGATGCCTTGCTCAACAGTCTGATGGTGTTGCGACTGTCCTTCTGCACAGACCTGGAAATCCCCCTCTTCTTCTGTGAAGTTGTTCAGCTCATCAAGCTTGCATGTTCTGATACCCTCATCAATAACGTTCTGATATATTTTGCGGCTAATGTATTTGCTGGTGTTCCACTTTCTGGAATCATTTTCTCTTATATTCAAATTGTTTCCTCTATTTTGAGAATGTCATCATTAGGGAGAAAGTATAAAGCTTTTTCCACTTGTGGGTCTCACCTCTCAGTTGTTACCTTGTTCTATGGGACAGCTTTTGGAGTGTATATTAGTTCTGCAGTGACAAACTCTTCCAGGAAGATGGCAGTGGCTTCAATGATGTACACTGTGGTCACTTCTGTGATGAATCCCTTTATTTACAGCCTGAGGAACAGGGACATGAAGGGAGCCTTGAGGAAACTCATTGGTAGAATACCTTCTTTCCTGTGATTGTGTCATCTAATTTAGGCTGGGTTCACTAGAATGAGCCAGAATGCCTGACTCCTCCATCACCAAGTTCTTCTTAAATGAATAGATAGCATGATGGCTAAGTGCACTTTAACTGAGGGTGAAACCTGACTTGCTGTTTGTTTAGCTGTGTGATGTTTGACAAATGATTTCCATTGTCTAAGATAAGTTTCTTTGTTCAGGCTTCATAGAAGCTGAATCTGAGGCAGGAGTTTCTTGGTATAGTAATTTTGTGAGAATATTCTCAGCACAAAGGAAGTGAAGGGAGGTGGATAGGTCAGGGAAAGGACTTAAACAGGGCTGTGGTCATCGCAGAGGCTAGATTCTGCCTGATCCCATGGATAGCGCCATGTGAATTGCACCCAAGAGTTAAGCCTACTATGAGACGTGGTGGCTGATCTTTCATACCTTACTTCAGTAATTGCTGACAATGGTCAGTGGTAAATTGTACGTGTGCAACATTAGCATCCACAACACTCAGCTTCATCATCTGTAAAATCACTGTGATTAGCTTATATGAGTGGTTTGAAATGATTGTGAGATATTTGAACTTGATGAGTGAGGCAGACTTAGTTTCTAACAAGAGAAAGAAATCTTGACTCTAATATACTAAACAATAAAGAGAGTTTATAAAGGAGAGAGTTATCTTTCATTACAAGGACTTGAGAGGTAGGGAATGTACAGGAGTGAGAGAATAGAGATTTGTTCAGTCCTCCATGAAGTCACTTCAGCTAGGGCTGGTTCCCTTCATGAAGCCAGATAACAGAAACAGATGCAGGTCTCAATCATATATAGACATGATTCCTGGAGACAGGAAACTGATTGTCCTTCCCTGAGCCTATTATTAATAGAGGATCTATATATAACAGACATTTCCATGGCATTATCCATTAGACATCACCTTTAATCTCATCACCGAGTGCAGGATCATGCGCCACCTACTTAATCTAATTCTTGGTGTGAGGAAAATGATTACAACAAGAGCCTTAGACTGACCATATGGAGTGCAACTCCTGCTGGCAAGTCCACCTCCATAAGCACTACAAACACTTAGGACAATGCCTGGCACCTAGTAAGTACTCAGTAAAATTTAACTACTATCATTGTGTTCCATATCTTGCCTATATTCTTAAGTCTTGTAATCCTGTTGGTCTCTCATATTTTCACAACTTGTTTCAGCAGTTAGATTTGTATTCTGTTATTGTTATATTTCTCAGTTGCTTTTTTCTAGTCTGAGTAATGTAATAAAATAAATAATTATGTAGGCAGGAAAAGGTGAGTAATATTCTGGCATCTTATTTGCTTTGAAACCTTATTGATCTATTTGTAAGAATGTATCTGAGTTTTCACTTCTCCCCTTAGTCATCTTGTATTGCTGTGTTTCTTACACATCTCTGGTGGAGTCCACACAGAGAAACATAATTCAATAAAATTAATTGTATCGTTGATGTCATAGAGGACTGTGTGCAGTCTTAGGGCTCTAATGCAAAACTTTTTAATGTGTTTATTAGGAAAGTTATTTTATGGAGAACTACTTTCCTTTGACAAGGAGATGTTCAGTGTGAGACAAGAGATGAGAAAAGGGAAGGTGGCAGAATTAGGAGAATCAGTTTTCCCATAAGCATAAAAAAGCAGGGCCATGAGTTAGAATCATCTCAGAAGGTGAGAGGGTGAAAACAGTGGAGGTCTCCAATGAGAATCAAAGTTGTTGCTGGAGAGCTTTCTGTTCTGGTCGTCAGTGGAATTTCAGGTTGGTTTTATTTTCAGCACCATAACTTGGAAACAGCTCCCTGCCCGGCGCTTGAGGTATCTTCTAGTGCAGAGCTTCCTCCACTGATGTCCACAGAACAGCTGCAGAGGTTAATCACTTGAGACCTTCCTTCATACAAAGGAGATATCCTGGTCCTCCAGCAAGAACTACTGATGTTGAACCTCTGGGGAGACGTGAGTAATGAGACTTTTTAATAAGCATTTTGTGAGATTCTGATGATCTCTGAAGTCTGAGTTCCATGACTTTCATATTAGAAGAACACGGGAAAATATATTTAGAATTAGGAATATGGAAGGGCCTTTTCTCAATTTTACTTGTTGAAATATAATATGCGAGGTAGTACATAAAATCTATGTGTAGTTCTGAAAGAACAGTAACATAACCACACATATACCTATCCTAGGGTTAAAAATAAAGCAATGCTATCATTATAGAATCCAACTGAATGGTCTACCACTCACATCACCCTCTCCTCTCCCAGTGACAAAGACAATCCTGAATTCTTTATTAGTCATTTTCTTTGATGTTCTTTTATTAGGTTGAATCCTGTGAAATTGCCAGCATTTGATCATATTTACCCTAAAAAACTGTCAATAGGATTAAATGTCACTGTCTTATCATCTGTGTATGTATTCCTTCACAATTTAGAAATTTGCCTCTTTTCAAACTTGTTAAATGTTTAACATTAATATATGAATTTTGTGTCCTGATTGTTTTTCTCATTATTGCACTTTTGAGATTCAGTGACATTGTTGAGAGTATTAGTAAGTGATTTATCTCTAATACTCTGTATTTTTGCATTGTGTATGGTGATGTTTCAAACTAGATCCTTTATGATCTTGTTGGAAATTTTGTGTGCTTATAGCTGTTTTTTTGCTATTATGAATAAATCTGTTTGAATATTCTTTTGTACATCTCCTGGTAGAAATGAGAAAGAGTCTTATATTTGAGATGAAATTATTGGTTAAAAAGACTATGCAGGGGCCAGCCCGGTGGCGCAAGCGTTAAGTGCCCGCGCTCCGCTTCGGCGGCCAGGGCTTCGCTGATTGGGATCCCGGGCGCACACCGAGGCACAGCTTGTCAAGCCATGCTGTGGGGGCGTCCCATATAAAGTACAGGAAGATGGGCACAGATGTTAGCCCAGGGCCAGTCTTCCTCAGAAAAAAAGAGAATGACTGGCATTGGATGTTAGCTCAGGGCTGGTCTTCCTCACAAAAAAAAAAAAAAAAAAGAAAGGAATATGTATTCTCCTTTGGGTACTCCCCAAGAGTTTTCCTAAGTGGATGAACCAATTCACACCCATACTAAATATTCCTGTTGATCCGTGTCATCACCAACACATTTTTAATTTATACTGACAATTTTGTGGATATAAAAATTATTTATTAGGGCCGGCCTGGTGGCACAGTGTTTAAGTGCGTGCACTCAGCTTCAGCGGCGGCGGCCCAGGGTTCGCAGGTTTGGACCCCGGGCGCGCACCGACACACCGCCGGTCAAGCCATGCTG